TACAGACATCACATCAGGTACTAACCTGATAGTGTACAGACAGCACAGGCACATGACATGTTTGACCAGTTGCAGGCAATGTTGTATTTTGGGATATTTTAGAGTCAAATCTAACATTTTGCTATCAGAACACGCCAAATTCAATTTCATTTTAGAGAATTATTGATCTCTGGGCTTTCTTTTGCACCTGTATATGTGTGTGTTTGAGCATGTGTGTTTTTGTACGTGGGCACTACTCCTGTCCACACATGTTGACTTGAGGTCTGTGCGGTTGTGGTTCAGGAGAGCATGAAGAGGAGCGGAAGTATCAAACAACATGTACATCATGAGCGGGCTCTGTGTTAATGCTTCAACCTGATCAGGTCTAAGGTAGCTTATATTGAGTAAGGTCATCTGTAATGCATGTACAGCAGGTGTGCAGTTTGTCTGCTATACCAGCAGTGCAGCATGCTGCCACGTGTCTTGGACTGAATGCTTGAAATTCAGTCAATTTCATAATTTATGTTGCAGAATATAAGCTAACTGCTGACAGCTTTACCATATGCCTTTGATAGAAGCTAACCAATGTAATATATATCTGTACCATTTGGGATATTGTTGCTGTTAAAGGTTGCATTACTGCAAAGTCATCTATTTTCTCAACTTACTGGACTGAAGTGAACAGTGACATCATCTTCACATTAGTTCTGGGTTTTTGTTGGCTGTAAATATGTACTGAAGGATTGGGCCAGCCCTCCATGTCCTGGTAGGAACAAAATACCATATTAGGAGAATCCAGCTGCATCTTCTCCACAGAGCCATGACCTCTCTCAGCCTGCTGTTCTTCACTCATGGTGCTCACCACAGCTAAAAGTCTAGCAATGCTGGAAGCAATCTCTTTTGCATCTTGTGTAACCAGCTGGTGTAACCCTGCTATCACCACACTGAACACGGATAACCGTTCAATGCCAACCCTTTCTTTCTACAATATCAGTGCATGGCAACTATACTATGGTTATAGTTTGTTGTTGTTGACAAATAATCTATAGCTAAGGTTAGGCAACTAAAACATGTTGCTGAAGTTTATTCTTACTGAAGAATAAGTAAACAATGATAGATAATGAAATATGAAATATGTCATCTCTTCTGCCATTGACTCCCTTGTTCCATCCTCTCCTGTCACTCTTCCTGCTTCCTCTCTTCCTTCCTCTGTGGCGAATGCAGACTGATGTTCTGTCTCATCACCTCCAAAGGAACCTTATTTACCTGGACAGCCAGGTGAGGACTTCTGAGCTCCTGTCTGTCTCTGTCTCTACGAAGTCCAAAATACTAAACGTTTCCAGATCCAGAACATTTTGTGAAGCACTGGAACTTTTCTAACCCTTAGTGGAAACTAACATTTGTTGTTTAATGTTGTTAACATTGTTTCTAGAAAACGTACATGCATGTTTTATGGTTTATGATCTCTGTTTCTGTCTCTATTTCTGGTGCATCTTTTTTTCTTTATCTCTTTTAATAATACTCGAGTTATGGGTCAATCTCATCTCTTATGCACAGTTTCTAAAGGCCTGTCATCTTATTATTTATTTATTTAGCTAATCTAGGAAAGATAGAGGACCATACTGATGGTTTTCATATTGAAGCTCTTTTATTACCATTTTCAATGCATACCATGTTATGCTTTATTAAATAAGCTAACCTGCAGGAAGGTATTACTTTCATTTGAGTTTAGTGTTCCATGAATAGTATCTTGCAGACTTGAAACGGGTTGCAGACCTCAGCTCATGTTGATTTATCTTCAGAGCAGGGAAGATATTACTGCAGATAGAGCTGCTGATTGGAGTCATGGGTGGAACCTCGTGTTGTTAGTCCAATCACAACACTGCACACTGCTGGGAGCTGTATTAAACATTCCTCTCAGCCTCTTATGTATGAACCCATGTGCAGCAATGCTCAATCGCTCTCATTGTTTGCAAATGCCAGCCTTGTACACCCAAGACTACAAACTGAGAGAAGTCCCAGGGAGTAAATGTAAATGTCAGAATTCTGTTTAAATGCAGGCTTCGTAGGGAGCAGAACTGTGGTGGTGTGAGGCCACTGGTTGAACAAGTTATTTAACTCAACTCCACGTATTTGTTATCTGCCCAAACTGTTAATGTTAGAAAGAGTATGGATGTTTCCACTGGAATCTCACTAACATTGACAGAGCAGCTTAATTGCAAGAAAAACACAACCTGTCTCCAGTTCACAGAGGCAAACTCTGATCATGTGCTGTTGATTTTAGCCTGTAGGTTAGAACTGTTCCTGCATCATTGTAAACCACTGCTCGGCTCTCAAAAGCTCATGGGCTTGGACAGGCTGTAGGAGGGAGCGGCTAGCAGCTTGGGTGCTAAAATGATTAGATTTTCACAAAGTACAAAGAGGCTATTTGAAGAGAAGGTTCAGTTTATGTACATTAAAGGTAGTGGAACAATCCATTGACTCCAAATCAAATATTATATCATTTTCAAAACCCTTTTCTTAAATAAATATTATCACAACTTCCAGTCAGAGCTTTGAAAATGGTTAATACTAATTTAGATTATAGGTATTTGTAATAAATTGGCTTATGCAAAAACACAGGAATGGTCCTTTTAACATGGCGTATGTTAGATCAGTAAGTGTTCAATAGTAACTGAGCAGTAAAGTGTCCTACAGAGCGGTGTTTATCCTGAGTTTTCTCCTGAAGAGGAGGGCTAGTCCTTCTCCAGCTCCTGGATATCAGACATGAATCCTTCAAGCAACACGTGCTGCTATGTTATCACACCATTGTATCCTCTTTCTCCTCGGCGCTCCACTAGACGAAGGAGAATGAGCCTCTAATCTTCATGATTCACACTATGATCGAGAACTCGGCACCGAGGCCGCAACTCTATCAGCAAGTAAGGTCCATGGCAGGTTCTGGTTTGAGTCGGGGTCAAGACCGTCCATTTGTCTTTTGACCTGCTGTATGTCCCTGTTGATGGGTCAAAGCATCATTAATCACAATCTTATATTTTACATTCAACTTGAAAACACAAAATTTGAGTTTTTGAGGCTGAACATCGAGTACATCGCAGTGTTGTTAGACTGAAGAACTCCATATAACGCATATGTAGTTGTCAGCTATCAAAAGCGCAGGAGGTTTGGGGTGTATTTCCCCTAAAAGGATGTCCCTGTTATTTCTAAATGAAATCTTTCATTTGAACCTGACTGAAGTGGAGCAGACTCGAACCAGACCTTTGCCCGGTAGCCCAGTGTCTCCATGTCTTCCCCCCCACATTCAACCTCTTCTTTCATCACTTTGGATGCAGGCAGTCTGTTCATTAAGCAGTTGTTAACCAGAAAACATTCTTTAAAACATTATTTCAAGTGTTTGTGAAGTTCTTTTTGGTTGAGTACATCTCATCTCATTGCTTTCTGTTCAATGTGAGCTGAAGCGAGCATGGCTTATGACTTAATGTTCCATAGACTCCGATTCCTCCTCTCCCCGTCTGTCTCCATACAGCACTGGTCATTGTTGGTATTACTTTGGAAATGCTTACATTGCCTGGATGTTCAGATGTGCTGTGGAGAACAATGATCCTACTGTTTTTCATTATTCAAATGAATAGTTCAACATTCTCAGAAATACACACTTACTTTCTTTCCAAGAGTGAGAGTCTGGACATGGTCAGCCGAGCTTAGCATAAAGACTGAAACAGATGGAAACAGATAACCAAAGTTGAAAAACAAATAATATCTTGGTTGTCCACGAAACGGAAATATAAGAATGTCATTTCTTGTGAAGAGGAAGTTACGTGTTATAAAATGTGTTATAAGCAACGTTTTATTCGTATGAATGGGTGGGAATGCTTTGAGTGGTTGGAAAGACAGAAAAGCGCTGTACAAGTACAGTCCATTGACCATTTACCCTTCACCACGGTGTTAGTCTCTGGAAAGGTACAATGGGAGTGAACATGGCAACCCCACTGACAACAAGCCTCCAGGACGCTGCCCACAGTCACTGCACTGACTGCTGTCTGTGCACGGATTAAAGAGACACTAGTGGTGCTGTGGAAGTAAATAAACGACAAAAGATTTGAGACACAAATCTAATTCTGAGCACTACTCAGTGTGCTAGTCAGTGCGATGGACTCGTAAGAGCAGAATCTGAACATGTAATCCTGATCATGGACCGGCTCGTTTCTTGCTTCCTTGATCTTTTTGCCTATCAAGCTGCAATAGCTGCAACCCACATGTGGACGTCAGGGTCCTTCTTCAAAGATAATGTCCGCACAAGCACAAAAGTCAGCTTTTGAAAATATTGCTTCTCTATAAGGACCATGTGAATATTTAGTGATTTACATATTTATGCCTTGTCGAGTTCCGCTAAACCGTCTCCTACATTACTCATGGGCCTCGTCTGTTGGGAGGATGCTGGCTGGTTGAGTAACATAGCGGAAGGGGAGGAGAAAGACATGTGAAATACATGTCCAATGGCCGACTGATACCCACAGTCTACATCAGTGTGTCAGACTAACAGGAAGAGAACAAGCTATGCTCTAGCCAGTAACTACTTTAACAATATAAAATGTATTTAAATCTCAAAACGACTCCACAACAGCTTAAAAATGAAATCATTTGGCAAGAAATTTAATTCAATTCTCAGCTGGAGTTTGTGCTCACCCTGCCAAACAGAGCACAAGCAGCTCTGATCATTAGGAGAGGGAGAATCCCTGTTGCTGTTCACAAGTAGATGCACAATTCTTCTTCATGCTTAAATCATCTGTTACACTTACGATTCTGCCCCCCCCCCCCCTCACCACCCCCCCCCCCCCCCCCCCCC